CCTAATCACACAATGCATTCCCCCAACCAATCTCTCTCTTCTCTCCCTCTCCTTTCCTCTCGCCCTCATCTTCCCTCCCACTCTATGCTAGTGTGTGAATAGCTCTCTCTCTTTCTACCCCTCGCAAGCACGCACTCTGTCAGTGGAGGAGATGGTTTCGAAACCCAGCTGTAGCTGAAAGTGATCGCCTCCTTGAGCATATCCATCTAAGAGGATTGTGCCCTTTTTCTGTTCGTACCACTTTTTTTCATTGTTCTGAACCTGTAGGATTTTTATTATCTGCCACTCAGGTTTGCGATATAGTAAGTGTTCCGCTGAAGAATAACTGAAGTTTTTCTTACATGGCTGAAGCACCTGACTATGACTTATTTGCGCTTTTTATATTGACGTGATCTGTGTGTCCTAACACACATAGCACAGCTTAAGTCATTTATTTTTTGTCTACTGGAATTGTTTCATTTTGCTATACAAGGATTTCTTGCTGACAACGTGGTAGGAATCCAGGAGTAAACTCTTAGGAGAAACCATGAGTTGGACTCATTATAAATGCTAAACGTCTGTTTGCTTGGAGCTACGCCATCTGAGGAATCCAATCAAGGTAAAGCAATATTGTTTCTTCTTGTATTTGACTTTTGAGGTCACTTATCTAAATGCCTTAACTGTTATGATAAATAAGCATATTTCATTAATTTGAGGGTGTGGGGTCTAGTTTTAAATATTACATATTTTGTTGATGCTTAAGCATTAGTCATTTGATAGGAATAGTAAATTAAAATCAGCTGACTTTAAAGTGATTACATCAAGTAGTGGGAAAGTTAATCCACCTCTCAAAGTATTTTTTTTTTTCGTTAATAGGAGTGCTGATTTTTTTAGCCAGAATTTAAGGCACTCTAAACAAATTTGATCGTATATGTACCACAGGTTAAAACATTGTTTTATTTAAAAACAAATTATTATTTTATTCATGACTTTGAATTTGAGGCACAAAAAACATGTCTGACCTTATACTATTGGTTAAAATACCATTTATATTAATTTAATTATTTGGTAACACTTTGGTACAGGGAACAATTCTCACTGTTAACTAATTGTTTATTAGCATGCCTATTATCAATATATTGGCTGTTTATTAGTACTTATAAATCACACATTATGTATGATCATATTCTACATCCCTAATCCTACCCAATACCTAAAATGAACAACTACCTTACTATTAATAAGCAGAAAATTAGGAGTTTACTGAGGCAAAAGTCGTAGTTAATGGTTTGTTAATAGCGAGAGTTGGACCTTAAAATAATTTGTGACCAATTATTTTTTATTTAATAAATGTAATATATTTTTTATTACATAAGTGTATGATTGGAATTAGAGGCATAATAAAATGTTTGACCTTAGTTTAAAATAAATATATATTTTTTTTAATTATTAAATTTATATTTTCATAGTATAGTCGTTTCTTGTTAAGAAAAATTCAAAATTATGTATCATAGATTAAACTTAGATTATAAAATCTTTTATTTAATTCATAATCACAAAATAAGTCTATACGCGAAACAACTTACTGTTCAACAACTTTTTAACCACTTTTGACCATTAATTCTTCTGTAGAGATGACCACTGTGTCAATGGAGCCCATAGTGGCGATGGTGGAGAAGGTTTCCAATGTCACTGAGCTTCCAGTAGAAGCTTCTACTGAAGACATGGCTGCCACTTTCACCATTGGCACCATCCTGTCCCTAATGTGTCTGGTGGGTGTGTCTGGAAATATCTACACTCTCGTGGTCATGTGCCACTCCATGCGCTCGGCTGCCTCTATGTACATCTACATCATCAACCTGGCACTAGCTGATCTGCTTTACTTACTCACGATTCCATTTGTGGTATGCACACATTTCCTGAAGGGCTGGTACTTTGGAGACGCTGGATGTCGGATCCTCATCAGCATGGACTTCCTTACAATGCATGCCAGCATTTTTACCCTGACTGTCATGAGCACAGAACGTTACTTTGCCGTCCTCAAGCCTCTGGATACAGTCAAACGCTCTAAGAGCTACCGAAAAGCAATCGCCCTCTTGGTGTGGACGGCCTCATTGATTCTCACCTTACCCATGATCATCAGCGTCCAGCTGATGACGGCAAGCTCCAAGCCAATGTGTCAACCCACCTTGAGCCCTCTCTCATATAAAATTTACATCTCCTTTCTCTTTGGCACCAGCATCGTGGCTCCAGGGGTGATAATCGGGTACCTGTACATATGCCTGGCACGAACCTACTGGATTTCCCAAACGATGACGTTCAAGCAGACCAAGAAGCTCCCAAACCAGAAGGTGCTATATCTGATCTTCACTATCGTGCTCCTGTTCTGGGCCTGCTTCCTGCCTTTCTGGATCTGGCAGCTTCTAGGTCAGTTTCAGCCCGAGCTGGATCTCTCCACCAAGGCCAAGCGGAACATTAACTATCTGACCACCTGTCTGACCTACAGCAACAGTTGCATCAATCCGTTCCTCTACACCCTGCTCACCAAGAACTACAAGGAGTACCTCCGCAAGAGACAGAGGACGTGGACGGCTGGCAGCTACCTCAACCGGCGGAACCGCTTTCAGCGTTCGCCCCGACGTTCCTTGTCCTCCAGTAGCCAGCAGTGCACGGAGAGCTTTGTCCTCACGCATACTTCTCGCACCAACAACAGCAGCCTTTGAGGTAGGTCGTTGACCTTGTTTTTTTTGGCCTTCTATCATAACTGCATTCTGTTTTCCAGACAGTCTGATTCGACGTGTCTGAATAAAACCAAATTTTCTCCAGTTTACCTTCATCTTCGCTCAGTCCAGCAGGTCTGTTTTGAATAAACCAAGACAAGACTGTTTTAGGTTTGCGGACTTGGGTCTGATTTTCAGGATCGCCTCTTGTCACTGCAAAGTGCTACGGCTGAGATATGAGAACTTGAAATGCTTGATGAATCTTTTTTGGTTGCTTATGCACAGCTTTATTGTTCAAATTATGACTATACATACAATATAAATAGACAGGTGAACTGGAGAGACATTCAAAATGTTATGCTTTGTTTGAGTAGCATTTTAAAGGTGAAATTTTAACACTTGATGAGTCACCATTATATTTAATTGTGTGACAATCTTCCATTTATTCCAGAATGTTATGTTTGCAAATGACAACAGATTTAAGTAGATCAGACATTTTGATTGAAAGAAAATTCATTTTGAAACATAACTATGACGTCATTTGTGTCACAAGGTTCATAGATAATTTGTCATAGTGCAAATGCTGGTCTGGGTAACATAGGCCAGATGATAATTAGGTTCCTCTGATTGGATCTCAGCACCAAATTACTCTCCAATCAGCAGAACTGCTACCTAAATGTCTGCATTGTATGAATGACAGTGGACTAAAATAATAAAGCTCTAACAAGGCTGGAATAGGCTATAAGCATGGTCGAGTTAGGAAGAAAATGTGCTAACATTATCAACAATGAATTACCCACGGTGTCTTTCTGCAATAATTCTGTCTGGAATCATTCAGGAAAAAAGAAAACAAAACTCCGCCCGGATTAGAACTTCGATCTAATCCTAAAATTTATTTTAATTTCCCACCAAATGACAAGATTAAAAACGTAGAAAGGAGAGTGTAAAAAGAGCATACCAAAGCTAATTTCTCATATTATATTCATTAAGATTTCTCAGAGTGTGTGACTCATTCAGCTTTGCATTTAGTGTCAGCTGAGTAATTCTTGTCATTAGGGTTTAAAAAAAAACTCCACTAAAAATACAACTGGTAATGGAATTTTAACCTTCTAGATCAAGTTATCAGGAGTCTTTTTGTATCATAAGTGCAAAATCTATAACCATTTATACTGAAGAGTTTCCAAATTGATGGAAAAAAGAAATAAATAAAAGATCACGGCATGTTTATGATTAATTTCATTTCAAAGTGCACTCTATAATTATTTAGACAGACATCTGAGCACCAGAAAACCTTAACCTTAACCCAGACTAAACGACATAGTTTCTGTTAAACATAAACATAAATACATAGACTAAATAACCACAGTGAAGAACATTTTCTGAGAGCATTAAAATGCCACTGCACATATACTGCAGCCTGATACTGTCATAACAATAATTTAATTATTTTTCAAAGCACTGAAAATACAAAGCTTTCTAAAAACATAAATACTGAAATTACTGGAATGATAGTTTGGGGTAAAAAAGTTTTTTGTTTTGTCAAAGAAACCAGTTCGCTGAATTGAAAGCTGAACAAGAATGTATCAGTCACTGCCGTGATTACAATATCATCACTTCCAAATTCCCAAGTTTATACAGTTTATTGAGTTTCCCTTTTTTTCTTCTCAGTGTCACAGTATGCTTCCACTGTCTGACTTCTGAGCACTACTGAGAGAGGAAACCAGTCAGCAGAGCAATGAAACAATTCTTCTGAGGTCTTTCCTCTTGGGTTGATTTTGATCATCTGTCTTTGGCAGGCCACATGACCCATGTTTAGGAAGTGATGGACATTGGCAGAAGGAAGACCTGCATGTCCCTGCAGCTCTAAAAATAACCTATCCTCTACAACAGCGTCTGTACACAGTCCTGCAATGTCTCTATTTGGTGCAGACACTAAATCAACATTACACGTAATGATTACTCTTCCCCTGAGTTTTAAATATTGATTCACCACCATTGAGGGTGTGATTTCTATAATTAGGTGGATGTAGCAAATATTACAATTTATGTTAAAAATTATTTATGCATGTGAAATATAATTGATTTGATAGATTTTTAAGAAATTATTTTAAAAAGCATGCATACACTGAAAAAAAAAATGATGTAGAAATAATTTTCACGGAAATTGCTGGGAAATTTAACAATGAATTACAAAGAACCTACAAGTAACCCATTGAATTAAACATGAACTTAACTAGTATTTTCTTGGAAAACATCTTCCAATAATCTTTGTTTTATTTACAACTTTGGAAAATAATAGTTTACAGTGTATGGATAAAAAGGCAACATAAAAAAAACTGTTTTAATTTAATTATTTTTTAATTAATACACAATGCTTCCATTGCATTGTGTTAAACAATTAAAAATGTAAAGGTCAAGATTTACATTTGCTAACTGTTACTGATCTATTTTTTTGCATACTAAATTTAGCTACATGAATAGCCAGGGACGGTAGCATGCATTTACCTGAATTTGCATCCATATTATCTTTCACTTAAGGAAATAACTGAACAAAAGTCACATTTGGCATTCAAATCAAAAGGAAGCGCAAAGACACCACAAAGTGTCCCTGACAAAGCCTAACTCACAAACTAAATTCACCTTAACAAAGTTATTATAGTTGGATTCAAGTTAAATAAAAGGACCCCCCTTGATAATGGCACTGGTTTCAGTCTGGACACCAATCTGTCACCGAGTTAGAGACCTTATTTGTTTAGACGGTGGACTGTTTCATCTGGTTCTGATCCAATAAGGATCTAAATCAATACATCTCATATATTCCAGGACCTCTTCCAGACCATCTTGATCCTAGCATGAGATACTCCTGGCAGAACAAATGCACGATGATAAACTGTTATGATCTTTGTAATCCAAAAGTAAGAATTTGGCACACATTTCCATCAAACTCTCTAAAAATAACCCTGGCTTGGTCCAGTAATCAAAGTTGGGCCGGCATTACAAAAGCAGCAATCATGGATCAATAGATTTATAATTCACATTGATAACACAGAACACTTCTATACCCTAATTGTGAGAGAAAATCTGCGTAATTTGTTACATTCTGGCTGAGAGGGCTATTGGTAGCTCACATTCGCCAAAATAGTTACAAAAAACATAAGAGATGGGAGGAGGATGTGCATAACGTGCATTTCGTAAATATGCTGAGCTTTTCTTGCAGGGCTAGTGATAACAAATGTAGAGTTGAGATCTGGGTGAGTGAAATACAAATGCAGTGGTTGCAAAAAGGTTTGAATGTTTAACTTCCATTTCGCCTGGTAAACTTGAGTGAGATTCTTATGCCTTGCCCTGTAATGGGAAGAAACAACAGCAGGAAACAGGTTAAAGAAAATGAAAATCAGCAGGTTGTGCATCAAAATCTGCCATGACTACTAAAGACATCTTATAAAGTTTTGACAGTGCATAGTCGAATTTTGCCTCAGCTACAAATACATTATGCATTATACACACACTGCTGAGCAGCCTACATTATCTAATTAAAAACTGCAAGTGCAAACATTGCACTATGCATAGTATGACAGGAATCAGATAGCTTTGCATTTGTTTGCTATATGTGACGATGTTTCATCATTTTGTACTCCGAGTCAATATGGTGTGGGAGTATATAGATGGTGGTAATGGAAATGAATCAAGAAACAGGTTCACTGAAGACCTGTTAATGGCAGCCACTTACTGACAGACCCAGGACAGCTGGCAGAGTTTATGAGACCCTGTTGCTCTTGTGTGCATGCTTGTAAATACCTTTTCAGTAAGTCAGGCATCTTATCTCGCGTACACTGTATGCAGGGCCTAAAACTAACATTTTGCCACAGCTGCCAATGGCCAGTCACTTGAGAAAAGTGACCAGCCATAAATATTTTTACTAGCCATGAAACTATGTGTGCATTACATTAAAAAACAGGCAGAAGAATTCCATATAATAATAATAATAATAATATTTATTTTTATTATTATTATTATTATTATTATTATTTAATCAAATTCTAAAAAACATAAATAAAGAAATATCACTATAGTACTTTAAAGAAGTATTTCATAACAATTATAAATGATATTTTATGTAATTATAATTTAGATAATAATAATAATAATAATAATGTACTATTCTTATAAATACTAGTCATTGGATAAAAGTATCTGCTAAATTAATAAATGTAAAATGTACATGCAATTATTATTATTATTAATATTTTATATAACAACAGTAAAAATACAAAGCTAATATTGGTAGGTTTTTTTTTTTTCCTTTGCTTTCTTTGCTTACAGCTTCTATTGCAGGGACGTTTCACAAAAAAATGCTGGGTTGTTTCAACCCAACTTTGGGTCAAATATGGACTAACCCAACTTTTGGGTTAAAAATGTAATGAAAAAATTTAACCCAACAGCTGGGTTAGTCCATATTTGACCCAAAGTTGGAAAAATTTGTTTGAAAATGCTTCTCTTTGGTTGACAACATTATAAACCGAGCCGCTCATTTATATCACAGCTAGTGATCATAGATCACAGTGAAACACGCAGTGGATCAGATTATGTATTTTTGTAATTACAACACATGCTTGGCGATTTGATAATCAAGCTAAACCATATTTCATTCTCTTCGTTCTCTCATTGTTAGAATTCATTTAAAAAGTTACCGGCCAACTGGCGAGTTAGAGACTGTTCCTACAGAATGCATTATTCCATTTCACTGCGCTACTTTTCCATAATTTTTCTATGGAAGCGCGCTAGATAGACACGCTTGACCGCTGGCATCTTGCGCATGACACTGCATTCAAAATGCTCAATTTGAAATAAGCTCAACTTTTAAAAAATGTGTTTCAAATTGCGTTTCCCCGCATTCCTCTCCCCGTTTCTCGTGTGTTTCAAGTTCTATGTGAATGGCTGTTACAGTACATATACTTGCCAATGCTGAATTTATTTGGATTTGCTGCTTGGCGAGTGGTAATT